CAAGCTTTAGCCACATTTCCAAACTATGATAGCATCTCAAATATTCCTACAGCTGCAAGTATGATGAGAAAGGGGACGTACAGAAAGTTCTGCTATCGATGTGTCAAGTCACACGACTAGCGGTTCATTGCTATGTTGTTACCTTCGCCAAGAAGGTTATGTTTTCAGTAGCGTTTGTCTGTGGGTGTGTGGGTGTGTTTGTGTGTGTGTGGTTTAGCAAGATAACTCGAGAAGCAGTGGATGGATTGGAATGAAACTTGGTAGGTGGGTATGACTTCATGAGACCTAGAAATGATTAGATTTTGGGCCCCCTGGCGGCTTTCCTAGGTACTGCAGCTGAACTTCCGGTTTTGATTTCTCATGTTCTGTACATGCTAGGGTCACGAATTTTGGTTGGTAGATAGCTCTTGGGGTAGGGAAGAAGTGACATGAGTTTGGGTCCCCTAGCGCCTTGTTTTAGAACTGCAGGAGCATTTGTTGAAAAAAAATTGAAGGACGATAACTCAAGAACCGGTTGACGTATTGTCGTGATTTTTGGTATGTAGGTAGTTAAAGTAATGCTTGACATAATCAGATGGCAATTATGCAAATCAAGAGCTAATTTGCATAATTAATGAGGAAATTCTATAAATCTGATTTGTTCGATAATAGAACTATGAAACAGTTGTGACATCTACTTGAGAACGAGAAAAACATCTGAGGATATAGATTATGTAAATGAGGACCTAATTTGAATAATTAATAGCAAATTCTTATAATTCCATAGTTGTAACTGCTGCACCCCGAATTTCATACTTGCCACATTTGGAAGTTAAGTGAAGGTGAACATCAATAAACATAATTTATTCAAATCATGACCTCATTTGCATAATTTATGAGGAAGTGCTATAATAGCCTTTTTGTTATGATAAGGCTGTCATTGGATGGAGAATATGATCAACTGATATAATCCATGCAAATGAGGCTCTTATTTACAAAATCAATGATTAAAATTGTAGACTTCGTCACCCGCAAGGGTTAACATTTTTTGGCGAAGGTATGAGATCGTGGAACTCTTGTTTGCTGTACTTTTGTATTCACGATATTTGCGTTCACCTCTGTGCTGCGAACTACCATTAAAAATAATTCACCAACTTTCTTTTTGCTGCAACTGCTGCCAAAGTGAACGTATAGTTCTGCAAACATGTACATTTTTCTCAGACTGGGAACTTTTGCTACGTCGAACATTAAGTGATTTACAGTATTTGCTGGTTTAAACCAACCGGTGAATTTCTTACCACGGTTAAATCAATAAGTGATCCCACATAACTTACATGCATATGTCATTCAATGCATCTGTGAATTATCTAAAGATTAGGCTGATAAATTGTGATATAGGCATCCTGAAAATGTACGTAGGAAGCACCCATAGCAAACAACAGTGCAGATAAAATAACATTAATTCAGACTACAAAGCTGATGGTGACAAGACAGACATGTAATTATCACTCGACTATAAACACAAACAGGACACCTCACCTGTCTAATCTTCTTGGTGAGAATTTCTCCTTGATGACGACAAAATGCAGAGATACGTTAGGGGTCAGCACAGAGCTAAAACCAGAGAAGGAATAATAATGATTTCAATCATATTAATCATCGCTTCAGCCATTTAGACCTCATCATGAATGATGGGGTAGTATAACACCATGGTGAAACCTATGTAAGTTACAAGAATTGTACAAAAATAAAAAGTATGTTTAACTTCATTTAAAATAATAAAGATTGTGACTTGCCTTGCAAAGATGAACATTTTTTTAATGAACAATGAGTGACAATACTACAAAAATAATGTAAAAATAACTTGACAGTTGAAAAATCCAACTAGGAAAAAAAAAATCATTTGGTGACAAAAAACATCTATTGGGACAATGTTCTAATAACCTGGCATCATCTTGTAAGTTTAACTTAGTAAGAGACCTATCCTGGGATACTACCCATATTACCCATTATGTATCTTCGTAAAGATTAGAGTAAACCTGCCTCTTCCACACTCACATGTACCGGGTGCAGTCAACAGTAACTGACATTGCCGAACATCAGCCAAACACAGCTTAGAAAAGATGTACCAATTGTTCATGGTTTACCAGAGGAGCTGGAGCAGGTGACTGTTACTGTTGCAGTTAAGTACCACTACATCCCACATTCAAACTTAACTTCTCACCAATAAACTGATGACTGAGCAGTTGCTATGAATGTGTAAACGTTACCTACACAAGAGCCAGGTGAGACAGATGATGGATGGAAGCCCATTCCTCAAATTCTAACCTTCAAATCCTGTTTGAATGGTGGCTTCAAACGCTTCAAAATTGCACAATAAAACCTGTATCGGCTCAATTTATCAGCTCTTAAGTGCATTTAACACATGGCCACAGTCCATGATAGCTCCGGACCTGGATCACAATGCGAATACGGGTGTAATAAAACAGGATTTACCCCCGTAACCTAGGCAAACCCTCCAGACCTGTGGCATCTGCTGGAAGTCTTTGGGAACTGATTGCGCCATTTACCATGACATCACTGACCCCCATGAAATTGTTATAATGCTATCCAACCTTGCACACAAGATGGCATCTGACCTCTTCCGACAAAGGGGACTTCAAAGGGCTGGGGAAGTCAAACGTTTTCAATTACTTGTAAGCGTTGCTGTATTCTTGACATTGGGATAAGCCTGAAATGCTTCTACGAGTCACAATGAGTAATTGTTTCACCATCAAATCTCCAAGTCTCCTTAGAACCAAGGTAGATTGGCTGAAAGAACTGTGGGTGCAGGAAAGCACATAATGCCATGTATACGTGCTATAAAAGAATCTTGTACAATAATGTTCTACTTGAGGTTAATTGCTTTACTTCATTTTCTTTTACCATTAAACTGTTACAAACTACTAAACACTGTTACACATGTTCATGTAGCTATAGATAGTTAAATTAATACAAACAGTTGCAGGGATCTGAATCTGCATAGTATCTATATATAGCAGTAGCAACTGGGACAATAAAAATTGAAGAATTTTTTGCATTGCATTCATCTGTGAACAAAACCACAGCTACAGTACTCAATCCATCTAACATCCTGAGGTCTTTGATTTACAAGATATCACCAATATGTGATGACTCTAAATTAAAGAGCAGAACAAGGAAAGGAAAAAAGGAATACTAACCTTCATATAACCATCCTCTGTTGTGACCAGTCAATGAATTAGCCTTTTTTGCCTGCAAAAGAAAAAAATATTCATGAGTTAACGTGACATTAGTGGAAACCAGCGACTTTGGTTTCTTGCATTACTGGTAATTGCTCTATAGTATAGTCTATTTCTCTTGATCTTGAGGCCTCTGTTTTCAAAGTTACATTAACTGTTAAGTGCTACTTAACTTAATGTAACTTTGCTACTTATGGAGAGGGTCTATATTCGTAGAGGTATATGTACCATACCTGTGCTCCTCTCTGGTCACCTTAATGGCACTGAGTCAAATTAAGGCAACCCACTAGGAATCAGGCACCTTATCAACCAACTACATGACCTAAGCCCAGAAAACACAGTGTACCATGGCCACAAAAACTTCCTGCCTATACTGTTAGCACAGCTCTTGTGGGTAACACAACAAATGATAGATTCCCTATCGCTGTCCAACCCAGGTCACTTGCCTACAAAAACATGGGGGAAAAATTTGATATTTCTAAATACCACTGAGTAATCTTCTTATTGCCAAATCCTTCTGTTACTAACATGTACATGTCAATGATTAATAAACTCTTGAAGAACCTATCTAAGTTGCCACCTGTACCTTCTAGGAAAATTAGTTGAAACTGTATTCATTTGGTTCAAAACTGGCATTACTGTAATCTAAGAAGTAAGATGTCAGTTAGATAATAACAACAAGCTATTCACTCATAGAACAGGCTATCTCCCTGCTCCTGAGGCATTATTATCTGATGTGATGCTATGTCAGATAAATTCTTTAGTTTCCCGCCCACCACAATTAAAGCTAAGCCACCTAATCAACTACAATTAGTATAAGAAAGCTCTATAAACAATCAATCAGCAAACAGGTGGCAGTAACACTTTTCTATTATGTATTTTACAAAAGATCCATTCTAAGCTGAAAGACTTTCCCTCCCCTTTTTTCTCGGCCAAATATTTGGCATGAATCAAAGTCTCATTGCTTCTATATAGTAATTCTAAACCTGTGGAAGCCTAAGACCTACATGTACATGTAGGGCTATGTAAGAACAAGGCGTGGCAGAAATATGTAAATTTTCTATTACATGAGCAGGTACAAGCTGTAGGAGCAAATGCTATAGAGTCTACCTCTCTGGTTCTCAACAAGAATATGACAGTTTAAGAGAGACAAATTAGGTTACACAGCAAGGCACTACTACCACCATATTTAAGGAGCACCTGGGCACAATACTCAATTACGACTTCTTGCACCTCAAAAAACCTTGAGGCCTACTTTGCAAATTTTGTGATGTCAGGACTGCTGATATCAGGACTGGCATTTCAAACAAGCTCTGGGTAGAATACTAGCTACTGTAGATGTTGCATCTTTGCTAAATAAATGAAATTGTAATAATATCAGTTCTAAATCTTTTCTGTACAATTTTCAAGAAAAAAGTTGCACAAGTGTGCTTTTGTCATGTGCTTTTCTGCAAAAGAGGGCAGAACTTGCAAGGCACAAAGTACCTTTGTGTTCAATAAACAACATTCCTTCATGGCAAGTCCTGCAGGTACACATGTAGGATTATGGCCCATGGTAACATGCATGCACTTCTGTCAACTCAGATATGCTAAAATGCATGCCTTATCATCACGCATGCATTGGACTCAAGCGTTTCCCTTCCCAGCCTACTTAAATTTCTACAAACCCAACTGTCCCTCTGTGACTGCGTGTCAGTTACCTGGCTACTCTGTACTTGCACCTCACCTGCATACAACTCCAAGGGTACTGAGGAATCTACAAGTATTTGTACGGATGTTAGGCACAGAACATAGCTAATTTACCTCCCAGACTTACACCAGAGTTTGTGGCAAAAATTAAAGATTTACCAAAAAAAGTGTACCAGAAAGTAAAATCAACACATAAATCATGACACCAAAGCATAAAACATCCGATCACCAGTAGGTGTAAAAGAACACGCCCTCATATAATTATAAAACGATTAAGACTGCCTATTGTAAAGAATCCATGTTTATAAAAGATGTAAAATGACAAAGGACTTACAGCAAGGCAAGCTCTCAGGTTTGACACCTTCTATTTGATGCTGCACTTAAACTGTCATGGAACATGTGACAGCAAATGAACTTGGTACCATATGTAAATATTGCAAGACTGGGAAAGAACAATTCACCATTTATGGTGACCAATCCAACATTGAATATTCTGTACAAGCAATGTGAGGAGGTAATGTAAACATTCCATAAAATTCCCCCTCTACTAAAGTTCTATGTATAGTTACTGTCCACAGGTGCAGTACGGCCTTATTACCATACAGAAAAGCTATACAGCTAAACTGCTGATAGCCTGTCAATAGTATTGCTGTTGCCTCTATTTAACTGTCACCCCTGTCTACTAATTAATTTCCATCCAACAGGTTTGGCTTCTTTGACCTGGCCAGTTAAACTGACATGTGTATTTCCCTGTGTGTTTTTGTTTGCAAACTTCGGGTTGAATAAGATGTAATATATCATCGACATTGAATACATTGTAGAGTTGGTCAATGAAGTACTGTACCATTATGCATTCCCAGTACAAAGCATGCACACCTACATAGCTGCAGACCACACAGGGAAACTACTGTTACCTAATAGCTCCCAACCTTCACCAGTAATTTAGCACAGAAATAGTTCCCACTACTGTAGGGATAGAGACACACATTGTTTCTACAGGTAACCACATAATGAACCTACACAAGCAATCAACATAGGGATAAGATGTTTTGAACAAATTCAATTGCACAATGAAGTTAGAATCTAATACATGATTGGTTGTCTTTCGCCCCTACTATGTTAAAGACAAAATACTTGGTGTCAGGAGGTCGTGTTTCACTTAAGTGATACACTTAAAAAGCGCCGACAGACCTTTGGGAACGACCCCAGGTATAGGAATGAAAAGGTTGAAACAAGAGACAGGTAACTACCACACAAAATTCAATGTGCCAGCTACTGCAGGACATAAGTTCATTTGGGAAAGGCTTAACCTAAGTAACCTCCACACCTGGATATCCTGAGGAGGGATCAATCGATTTTCTAAATGCAAAAGGGGGGGAATGTTATATAATTAAAGACTTGAATGGTTTTCTTTGGTTGGCTTTGGCATGAACAGAGATTACTTGTTTGTTGTTTGACTCATGGGGTGAGTTGTAAATGGTAGCATGTGTAGCGACAAGGCAAAATAGTTCCATTTTTCCTCCGTTGCCTGGCAGGTTGAATATGGCCTCTACAATACTGTGCAATAGAGTACATTGTACATACAACAACCTCGGGTACAACTGCCCTAGGACAATTTGAATTGTGTTGTGTCAAAAATAGCTGCAGCAACAGACCGAACATACTAAAAAGGGCACAAAGAGAAATCAACCCTTGCGAGATTACGCCCTCTTAGTTTAAAAAGGGATCCCCAAATACAAGATAGACCTGAGATAACCCTTGCCGGACGATGTGAAGAAAAGTGCGGGGACAAAGAACGGCAAATATTTACCAAGTTATGACACCTGTTCCTTATGTTGTCAGCAGCGCTACGGTGGCAAACATGGCAGTGCAATAGCATGGGTTGCTTACCATGGGAATATAGTTCATGACCTTTTGCTGGTCACAGCTGGGTTCAAAGTTGGCAAACTCAGTTTCTGGCATGTTGACAACCCCAAATATGTTAATCCCGCAACAAAAAACGACAAAGGGCACTATCAACGTCACTATGAACCAAGCACTAGCCAGGCCATTCAAAACCAATATGTCCTCCTTCCATGTCCAGTCGACCGCTTCTTGTTTACTGTGGGACTTAGGACAAGACGGACTACCCCCAAATCCCCTGCTAAATACTTAAAGTAGCTGACATCTTGAGGATTAGAAAGTAGTTACACTCTTGCACATATTTCATTATATCTGTATATAGGTGGAACCCTCTGCTATGCACTTTGAACTTGAAGAGGTAAAAGTCTAACCATAACACACCGTTAGACTGTAGCAATATGATTTAATGTAAGTCTGATGTAAGTCCGCCATGGCAAGTATCAGGACGTTCTGCCATCAAGACGTTTTGTCGTCAGACGATTCGCCATCATTATCAGAATAATGTCAGTCTATAATCACACTTGAAAAAATTACTGTTTTGTAGCTAAACTTCTACTGTGAATTAAGGTTTATAGTTTTATATAGGTTTATAGTTTTTTATAGTTTAGAGCAATTGGCGTTCGCTTTGTGACAAAACATCTTAGCAGCAAAACATCTAGAAACCATGCCATTAGTAAGTAGTCAGACTCAGATCTGATACCACCTCCAGTATGTTGAATGTACATGTTCATCTCAAGAGCTTTGTTTTGCAGGATTTTTTGCAATTCAAAGGCAGAATATAAATTGTCTGAGACGTACAAGACATGACCCTAACAGAAGTAACACTACTCTGAAAACCATAAGCACTTACCTGAAACATCTCCTGTGGGAAACATCCCTCTGGTTTTCGTACTTCGAACTGTAAAATTAGCCTGTGCCTGTGTAACCGGATATGTACATAATTGTCGACCTCTTCAAGTACCCCTTTTCAATACGTTTGCACACACCTGACGCTACGTTTCTTCTCAACGGAGGAAAACAGGCTCCAACATCTCCTCTAGACGATTCCACAACCGGCTTTTGTGTCCCCTGATCGATGAACGTCGCTAGATGAAAGGGAAACGTGCCAAACGACTTCTTGACGTATCGTTGGTTTTATCACTACTTAGTGACACAACTATTTAGACCCGTGTACTCTCGGGGATTATCTCCGCACACATGTACCTAAAGTCCGACCGAGAAGTAAAAGGTTTGGCCGAGCAACAAAACAGTCCACGTCAAACAAGAATTGATTGTTGGTCAATGTAACGTTCGCTCTTGCAGACGACCAAAAACACTTGTGCATTCGCACAACAACGCCCCCCTCCCCATCACTTTTCACCGTCCCAAAACAATCAACGCTTCGCTAAATTAAATATTGAATTAGCTATTGTTTTGTGGGTTCTCAGTCGGCCGTGCACTGGGGGAACAATATACGACATGCCCTGACAAAAGAATTGATACAAATTCAAAGTTTACCTCAGAGGCAACCGGAAAAGCACAAAACTCGTTCATTACCGTCTGTACTGATTTCAAAGATGGCGCCGAGAGCATAGGACGCATGCGCTAAGAGGGAAATATTTTGGTGCGGTTGAGAACTGATAAAATATTTATGGCTAAGAAATGATGTACGAGTGCAGTATCCAAGCAGATGTTGGCAGTCAACATAATTACGTTTTATGGCTTCCCGTTTCAGTTGCAAACCGTGTTCTAAATACGAATGAAATAAATAGGTAAAATTGGGACGCTTGTAACAAAGACGGCAAGCTAGAAAAACGTATTTTTAATCGTATTTGCTCCAAGGTCATTCACAATTCACGATGAAATCTAATTGACAGCATGTTACGACATGTTTTTTTTCTTGAACAAGCCGAACTCACATCATATATAGCTAGCTAGCTATAGTGAAAGCCATGTCAAACGTTACAGACTAGTACACTTTATTGTTTATTGAGGCTTTCATATCATAAAAATGATGTCGGGAACTTTTTTCGCTCAAGTTCTGAGCTCAACACTAAAAAAAGACAAGAAACGTATGAATCAACGTGTGAACAGCATTTTCAAGTTTCACATGTGTGCCATTTGACATTTCATCCATCTAAGGTGTATTTCTTTAGCAAATGAAAAGGAAAGTAAGAAACGGGCCTTGTTGTTAAAACACTTGTAACATCCATTGTTACAATGAGAGCTATTGCGAAAAATTAATTGCTCTTCGCGAGATACGGAGGTTGAAAGACTTTAAAAATTACCAATCCAGGTATTGAATGTGAAATAAATAAATGAATGTTACACAACTTAACTCCCACCCCCCTTAATAAAAAGACCACCTGTGACTCGGGAAACCTTCAGAGATCATCTTATTTCAGGTCTATACAAGGACCTATATTAACTGTTACATGTATCTCTTTACAAGTTAGATGATGCGATGTGACAGTGCCCGGCACACCTCAATCTCTTTGGTTCTTGGTTTTGTTAGACTGGTTGACTGTTTTTTTCGGCTTCAATCCTTTGAAGGATTAGCGCATAATGCAATAATAGTCGACTCCATTTGTCTGATATCATTTTGCCTCGGGTGCTTTAGCAATGGAGAGGCTATTTAGTGATCTGATACACCCGTTGAAATGTCGCCCAATTAGAGCGTGGAGACCTATATGCACTACAATTAAACACCGGATATAAGTTTGGACAGTATGGCCTGACCGCCATGTGTTGGGGAAGGGTTTGTGTCCAGAGTGGACGTTTGAAACAACGTCACGCTTGGTAAACGAAACCCGGTAAGGAGAGGAGAGCGGTGCCCAGAGAAGAGTACGCCTACTTTCTTAGGCTATTTGAACACATGTCTGGTGGCCTCTGACAAGTTTTTGGCCCAACATCTTCAAAACTGCTGTTAGTAAAGTACGACTCGGAGAGTGCAGACCACTTCTGGAACATTGTATTTTTGCGTCGGTCAGCAAAGAAATGTGCAGCACTACAATTAATGATATTGCAATTGCATGGATTGTGACCGTCAAACTCCCCTGGCACTGGCAAATTATTCTCCCTATTTAGCTATATCTTTTTACCATTTTTCAGCCTAACTAACTTGTCAGTCTGGCTAGGGAATACATCGACTAAATAGACATTGACAAATGTCAAGCTTTTCGGTAGTACGTTGATTTCCGCCAATGGATGGGGCGCTAGCTGGTTTACAGACCCGAAGGATATAGCACATGGGAGGAGTGACTGGATACAACCTGTTTCACGGTGTCACCTGACGGCTTATCAAAATAACAGTTCAGCCAATGAGAGAATGGCAATTAGCGATTCGACCAATGTCTAGAGAATGGCTGCATGTCCGTAAGATATCTGCATTTTGTGTTTTTATTTTGTATTTCTACGTTTGACGGTGGGACCGGGTGCCTGTGTGTATCGACCTAGATGCACCCTGCCCGACCTCCGACATGACGGGGGGACCTTCGAACTGCGCGCCATTTCTTACTTTCATTCCTGATGAATCACCAGGACACCTGTCATCGCCATTCAGCAATCTTATTTGCCCAAAGTCTACAGGGCGGTTGGCCTTCGATAATCCCGAGATGATCCCCTCAGAAATCCTGCTTTGTGTCGCATGCTTTGAAGTGATCTAAAGAAGCGCCCCTGGCAGGTGCCGTAACCATGGCAACCACTGCCCAGGTGCGGCCAGTGGACAGATAGCCTGACGTAACACAATGGAGACAAGAGAAAGGGAACCCCCCTTTAGTTTTGTCTTTGTGCATGGAGATGAATAAGGCTGGAACTTGATGAATCCGTGTTTCAAAAGCACACGAGCATAACGTATTTCGGCACACTGTGAATATGAATTGTGCTTTAGATTAAGTAGTAAGGAAAACAAGACGTCCCCAACTTGAGGTGAAGCATGATGCCTTGTCAAGTATGATAGTACAGTGTGGCTTCGCTCTGGCTCGCGTTTTCAGCCCGATCGACTTCTTCCGACCACTTAGTCTCACTATAG